CTGGACCCAGCGACCAGCTCATCACATCTTGCGTCCCAGTCCCCCAGAACTGATTACAAATCCTCGGCCCCAGCAGTGGCTTCCACATACTGCGCATCTGCTGCGGGCCTGGCCCCGAGCAGTGAAGAGCTGTGGCCCACGGAGGGGTGGACAGGTTGAGAGCACAGGCTGCGTTGGGGTGGGGCGAAAGCTCAGTGCTCTGGCCCAGAGCCAGCGTCCCTAACCATTGGGAGGCCCGGCCGCCCCTGGGGTCTGGCCCCACAGTGACAGGGAGGCTTAGCTTACTGTGATCTCTAGCTCCAGGGGCCAGGGGAGAGCAGGGGAGGAGGGCAGCTCACAGCCGCCCACCCGGCGGGGATGGCACTGGGGGGCAGGGGCTTGGTAGCTGGTGGGCTCCCCTTGCCTTCCAAGGGCCCTGGGCCCAGTCTCCCCAGCTCAGGACCTCTGTCCTTGGGGTGAACACGGGGACCAAGTGGCTGCTGCAGTGCAGACACTTCGCTCCGGTTGGGTCGATAAGGAAACAGGCTCCAAGAGGTGGCCGCTCGCCCACCACCCCATCTCCTCCACGGGAGGGACCGACGGGCCAGGGTCCAGGCCACAGGCTCCGGGGCCGTGGTAGCCGTGCCTGTCCCGGCTTGGCCACACCCTTGATGGGCATCTTCGCTGGGCGTTCTCAAAACCTGATTTCCTGTGTCTCGAATTTGGGAATAGGGGCTTAGGGCCGGAACCCTAAGATCTTGAAGAGAGAAGAGGTGGGACTCAGGGGTCCTTGGGAAGGTGAGTGGCTTCCCGAAGAAGATGGGGACAGGGAGAAGGTGACATGGAGGTGGGAGGACAGCAGTTGCAACCCCTTGCCCCATGCGCACCCTGGGGTCTCGGCCTCTAAGTGCCTCCCCATCCCCCTCTCTCCCCTCCCCCCTCCCTCCGGGCTCTGGGGCCAGGCCGCGGTGGAATGCCTCACGCCCCCACCTTCTGATTAAATGGCAGTGAGTTTGACGTGGCAGGTGATCTTCTCGGGAAGCCTGGCTTTAAATTTAGCTCCCTCCCCAGCCAGCCCTTTGAAAAGGCTGCTCTTCACCGACAGCACAGCGCGTGAGTCATCCACCAGGCCGCCCGCCTGTTGAGGGGGGCCGCGCCGATTGCGGGGGAGCAGTCCTCCCGAAGGCAGAGAAATAGTAAATAGGGAAGGATTAAAGGCGCTGGGGGATGAGGAGCAGAGCGCGGTGAGGGTTCTCATGGCGGTCCGTGTAATTACCTGTACCCCCATCACCGCCCCCTCTCCTCCAGCGCCGCCCGGCCCAGCCCAGGGCGGAGACGAGAGTTTGCTGAAGGCTCCACTGAAGCCAGTGCCCCTGCCTGTCACCCCTAAGTCCCCCCCACCCCTGGGCCCGCCGTGCCCCGTCCCTGGATGTACTGGTGTGGAAGGTTGGGAATTGCTCCCACCCCAAAGCTCCTGTCCTGCTCCCGGAACCTGGGGATGCTCCCGCTACGGCAAGAGGACAAAAGGACCTTGCAGGTGTGGTCGGGTCGTGCATCTGGAGATGGAGAATGTCCTGGATTAGCCAGGGCGCCCTCGGTGCACCCACAGGGGCCCTGCTGAGAGGGAGCAGGCGAGGCAGAGAGAGAGGGAAGGTGCTGGCCTTGAAGGCTGGAGGGACGCAGTCACAAGCCAAGGAGGCCTGCAGCCATGGGGGCTGGAAGAACTCCCCCCTCGAACCTCCAAGGAGGCGGTCCTGCCGACACTGTGAGGTCAGCCCCATAAACCTGGTTTTGGGGTTTCTGTGAGGCAATGCACTCGCATCGTTTTAAAGTGTCCGCCACGCACGTTTGCGGTCACTGGTTACGGCAGCCGCAGGAAGCCAGTGCACGGGGGTGGGGAGCAGTGAAAGGACTTGCCTTTCGCCACCTGGCTGCTCAGCGGCCGGGCTGAGGTTAAACCACGAAGCCCGTGCTTTCTCCTGCCCACACTGAAAGAACAGAACGGAAGGGAAACTGATGCAGGTCAAATACCTACTGAGTGTGCCCCGGGTCATTTATTTCAGGATGATCAGCAGGGGGGCTTCCTGTTTGACACGGCCTCTCATGTAATCCTCAGGCTGGCTCTTCAAGGTGGGCGGAATCACTCCCATTTTGCAGATGAGGAAATTGAGGCTTGGGGAGGCAAAGTAGCTGCATCTGTGTGCAGGGCAGGGGGCAGTGGGGCCCTGAGCATAGTGCGGGTGGCCAGCCAGCCCGGCACACAGCGGGCACATCGCGGAGGGCTGAGGAGCCCACACAGGGGCCAGCCTGGCCCCTGGGGACCAGTGGGCTTGATGAGTCTGGGGCTCGGGCACCTGGCTGCAGAGAAGGCTGGGAAGGCAGGCTGGGCAGAGTGGGGACAGGGTCGCAGATGCCAGGATCGGGTGACTGTGTTTCAGCCTGAGGGAAATGGGTGTTGATGGAGGCGTGACCTCCCATGCGTCACCCACCCAGGTGTGCACTCCTTCGGGCGGTGATCTCTCGTCTCATCTCTGGTTGTCCAGCACTGCACCTGAGTCTGGGACAGGCACAGAGCCCTGCTCTGTGATGCAGGGGCAGGGGGGGGGTGCTCCTGAGGCAGCTTTCCACTCACCCGATGCACACACACAGGCCCACAGATCCCCCTCACACGTGGGGACACACACTCCATACCATATATACACCACGTGCACATGTGCGCCCATGCGTGCACACACACTACACACAGTGCCTCCTGAATAACTCAGGAACCCAGCATCTGCCAGCAGAGAGCTCAAAGGGCCATCAGCTCTCAGCCCAAGCCCCGCCCCTTAGACCACAAGGAACTCTGCCCTGTGTCTTCTCTCTGCTCTTCTGTCCCCTCCCTAATATGGGACAATTGTAGGCCCCCATCCAGGGATGGTTTGCAGGCGAGGTGGGGGGTGCACCACGTAACCTCCTGGCTCCCTAATTCCTAACAGCATCGGTGAGAGAGGCGCTGCTGCGACCTTCACTTCGGAGAGGAAAACTGGCATTCGGGGGGTTCCATGCCACACTGAATGGCACGTGGATGGCAAACTCGAATTACTGCCTTGCTCCAACTCCACAAGCCTAGGCACTGGACACCACCCCTCTGCCCTGCCCCCGGACAAGGATAAGCCCGGGGCTGCAGCCTGGGCCTCACTGTGCTGAGGGGTCCCCATGGCAGGGCCCAGGCCTGGTCTACCAGGGTGGATCAATGTCCAGCCCAGCGCACCTGCTCAGACCATGTCCATTGGAGGAGAGAAGGGGCCTGGGTTCCTGGGGTGCAGATGGGAAACTGAGGCACCCCACAGGCGCAGACTTCCTGCAGGGGGCACCCTGGCACTCTCCCACCCCACCCTCCAGTTGCATCCCCCAGGCACCCGTCCAGACCTCAGTGCCATTGGGTCTGAAGGTGAAAGGTCGTGCTAGGAGGGCTGTCTCTGCGAGGACAAAGATGCCCCAGCAAAGTGCTGGGGTCTGGGACTGAGTCCTGGGCTTCAAGGTTAGGGGCCTGAGCAGCAGCCCCGGTTCTGCTCCTGGCGCGGGCGACCTCACTGTGCCGGGTGGGCCCTGTCTGTGACTGCGGTGAGGAATCAGTAACACAACGCACAGGAAGGGTTCAGCCCAGTTTCTGGGGACTCACAGCCTGGTCCGTGGCAGTGCAGGATCCCGGACAACCCGCTCTCCCGGCACTCACACTGACTCCCCGAACGACTGTCCCTCTGTTGGGTCCTTCAGGAGACTACAACGTGGCCTCTCTGTGACCTTCTTTACCCCTGGAGGTCGCCGGGCCAGGGACGGAGGTGGGGAAACAGGTTTACTGAGATTGGCTCCCTGGTTTGAGGCCACACAGCAAGGCAGGCATGGTCCTGTGCTGCAGGTGAGGGGTGCAGTGGGGGGCCCCAGGAATGGGGGCGGCAGGAGGAGAGGTGAGGAGGAGGCCAGAGGAGGAGAGGAGGCCCAAGCAGTGGTCTTGCTGTGGTACGAGGAGCAGAGCTTTTCCCTAGGGAAGTGGACAGAGGGACCTGCCTGACCAGAAGCGTTCTCCTAAGCCAGCCCAGCCCTGACTTTGACCTCGTGCAGAATCGGACTGCAGGGAATTTGCGGCTCAACAATAACACTGGGGGAGGCGCTGCGAGGCGGGGTGGGGCCGCCCCCGGGCAGGACGCAGGAGGGGCTGGGTGAGCCCCCCTGGTCCAGCCTGGCCCAGGGCTGGTGAGCCGTCAGGAGCGAGGCAGGTGAGCATGAGCTGGGCCTGGGGAGACGAGAGAAAGAAGGACCGAAGGAGCGAGGAAGGAACGAAGCAAAGGAAGGAGAAGGGGGAGGAGAAAGAGGGAAAAGTAGAAAGAAAGGAGTGAAAGAGGCCAGCAAGGAAGATGCCGGGAAGAATGAACAGCAGGAGGAACGAGCGAAAGGTAGCTAAAGAAACATTAAGAGAAGCACAAAGAGGGAGAGAGCGCGCGCGAGGAGAAGAAAAGAGATTGCGAAAGGAAAAATGAGAGGAGGTGCGGGGGGGGGGGGGGGGGGGGAGAGGGAGAGAGAGAGGCAGAGAGGCCGCGGCAGGCGCAGGAGAGAGGGGGAGCGCGGCGCGGCGGCGGGGCCGGCCGGCTGGAAGCCGCGAGCTCGGAGAGGGGGCAGCAGAGAGGGCGCGAGCGGGCGACCAGCGGCAAAGAGTGAAGTGGCGGCGGCGGCGGCGAGCGCAGGGCCCGGCGAGCATGAACGCGGCGGTGGCGGCGGCGGGCGCGGCGCGGGGCGCGGGGCCGGCGGGCGGGCGGGCGGCGCGGGCCGCCCAGTAGCCGCGGGCGGGCGGGCGAAGGGGCATGCGGCCGGCGGCCGGACCAGCAGCCGGAGCCCCAGCCCGAGCCGGAGCCCCGGCGCCGCTCCGCGCCCCACCAGCCTAGGAGCGGGCGCCTTCCCGGCGCCGGCCCGGAGCCCCCGAGTCCCCGCAGCCCCCGGAGTCCGGACAACTGTTGCGGCAGAGGCGGCACGGCGGGGGCGTGGGCGGCCCCGGGCCTCAGCAGGCGGCTCAGCCCGGCAGGCGCGGCTGCCGGCAGCGGAGCGAGGAGCGAGGCGGCGGGCACGAGGTGAGCCGCGCCCCAGGAGGGTTGGGCGGGGGCTACGCGGGGCGGGGGCGCGCGGGGCCGGGGTCCTAGCGCTTCGAGAAAGGGGCCGGGGGGCGGAGCTCCTGGTGGAGGAGGGTCCGGGAGAGTTGGGGGCGGCGTCTTCTGCGCCCCGGCTTCTGAGACGGGGTGCGGAATCCCGGGGCAGGAGGGGTGGGCGTACTTGGGGAGGCCGGTTCGGTGCGTTGAAGGTCTGGGGTGCTTTGAAAAGGGGCCGGGGGCACCCATGGGGAGAAGCTGGGGGCAGGAGCCGTATGGGGCAGACGGTGCCCTGGCATTGGGGTCCGCGCCAGGGCTCGCAGAGGTCGAGGTCGCTGAACCCTGGAGAGGACCGGGCCCGGGCTGGAGGAGCAGTCCCGGGGCGCAGTGTGTCGGGACGCCGCTGCTGGGGCCGGAATCCGCGTCCGAGGCGGGACCGGAGTCGGAGGACAGAGTCAGAGAGCGCAGCGAGCTGGGAGACCCGCGCGCGCCGGGAGCCGCGAGCGCACCGGACAGGGGTCCGGAGCCACGCCGGAGACCGGGCCGGGCCCGGGGGTCCTAGCTGGGTGGCGCGGGCGACCAGGAAGGTCCCTCCAAGTGCGTACCCCTCGCTCCCCGCCCGCCGTGTGGTCCCAGCGGAGCCGCCGCCGTCTCCCGGGGCCGACTCAATATTGATCCTGCGCCTGGGGCCGGGTGGCCCGGAGGCGGCCTCCGAAGCTCGTTAGCGCCAGAGGTTGCCATGGCAACGAGACCCCAAGCGTCCTCAGGTTATATTCTAATTATTATTATCATTATTAGTATTAGTATTTGTTACTGAGCCGGAGGAAACAAGAAAGGAGGGAGAGAGCCAGCGCATCCTGGCGGCTCCAACCTCTGTCTTTGCAAAGAGCCAGTGCTGCCGGCTCTTCGGGGGTCGGGTTCTCAGTGCGGCTGCCCCGCGGCACCCCTGGGGCGGTGGGGCCGGGACGGGGAGTTACGTAATCCGCCGTGGGAGTGCGTCTGTAAGCCTCCGTTCTGTCCGCCGCTCTCGGCCTCTCTGATCTCCCGGCTTAGGGATGGCTCGTGCCCAGGGAAGCCCAGACAGGGATGTGAAGAGCCGCCAGTGCCTCCTGTCCCCGGGCTGTGTGACCTTGAGCAAGGAGCCTGACCTCTCTGAGCCTCTGTTTCCCCACCCGAAAAGTAGCATGGGAGCCATTCCCACCTCAGAAGGGTGCTGCGAGGTCACCCTGTAGGGCCCATGTGCTGCTGGCTGGGTGACCCCAGGCTGCTGGCGGCCCTTCCCTGGGCCTCAGTTTCCATGGTTTAGAGGGAGGCCCCCGACCCCCCGCATGACTAAGACGTCCTCAGGCACCGGTGCCCTGCGACTCCCACTCTTTGGACACTGACATCCTGGGCAGCCAGCCAGCGGGGCTGGGTTCACACCCCGGCCAGGGCAGGGCCTCGTTCCTTCCTTGTTCCCACACCTGCCCGAGGGTCCGAGTGCGGCCAGGAAGCAGGCAGCCCAGCCGACTTCCTGGGGCCTCTTCACCTCTAGGCGGGCAGTGCGGTTTGATTGGCCATATCATTCAACACCAGAGTCAGGGTAACCTGTCGTCCTGGCGTCAGCCCAGGGTTGTCCAGGGTTGTCCAGAATCAGGGGGTACCTCCCCCTCTGTCCCCGAACTGTGTGACTACTCAGGATAGACTGCTCTCTGTAAACAGTGCATTTCTCCAGAGAGGCTGTTGGCCGTGCCTGTCCTGGCTGGGGGTGGAGTACGGGGCAAAAGGTGGCTGGAAAGTTCCATGCTGCCGGGCGGCACTGCCCCTGCCGGCCTAGACTGAGCCCAGGTGGGAGTTCTGCCTGTCCATTAAGGTCACCAGCCCCCTGAGCTGTTCCTGGCCCTGTCTCAGGCATTTGGGAGGAATTGCACTGCCTTCCAGGGACAGAGAAGGGAAGCCACCTGGCTTGGAGCTATGTGTGTGTTGGAGTGGATGCTTGTGTGAGAACGTGTGTGGCGTGTGAGCGTGTGTGCGTCCCACTCCCTCCCTCCCAGGCCACCTGGCCTGGACCTTATCAGGGGCAGGGCCCTGCTGCTCAGACCTTCCTGAGTGAGGGAGAAAGGGAGCGAGGCTGCCCCAGGGACGTCCGGGGACCTCTGAGAGCCACTCCCTTGGCCATCCACTGTCCGTCCGTCCGGCCATCCACTGTCCATCCGTCCAACCATCCATTCCTTCACTCCCCTTTAGCCAGCTCAGCAAGCCACCATGTCTGTTGCTGAAGGCGTTTTTAGCTCTGCCCTGGGCAGCTCTTGAGAAAACTGCCCCCAGTGGGGTTGGAGCTGTGCCTGGGGAGAGCCAACGTGGTGGCAGAACGCAGGTGGGGAGCGGCTGTCCCAGAGAGCCTGAGGACTGTCGGCGGGGAGCCTGGTCCAGAGGCAGACGAGAATCAGCCAGAAGGGAGGGGGAGGTGGGGTGTGGCAAGGGTGGGGCTGCTGGCCTGAGGAGCAGCTGGGAGGGAGCCGACACCACCCTGCCTGGGGAGGACTAGGACAGCAGAGGTGGGGGGGGGGTGGAGGGCGTCAGGGTTGGAGCTTGGAGGCTTACACCACCTGTGGGTGGGAGCTCGTGGGTGGGGTGGGCAGAGGGTGGGATAGTTTGGATGCAAGGAGTTCAGTTGCCACATCCAGGGTAAGCGGTCGCAGCCCAGCCAGCCTCTCCTCCCTTCCGGCTGTGCTGTGGGAGGGGAGGCAGCAAGGGCACACAGACCTGGGTGCTTTGTTGTCTGCGTCCGTTAGTCACATCCCTGACACTTGCCCGAGGCTGCACCTGCCAGTGAAAGCCCACCGTGCCCCTGTGTGCCAGGCACGGTGCTGGACAGGGTCCATCTCATGGACCCTCAGGGACGGTGCCCCTACAAGCTGGCGATTACTGATTCTGTTGTGCACACGAGAAAATAGGCTCAGAGAGGTTCAAATAACCCAGCTGGGACCCCATCCTAACCACTGCACCACACCACCCGGAGCCCGGCCCACACCTGATGGCGATCACAGTGGCTCTTTGGACACAGGGCAGTGAGCCACTGCAGGTCAGGATCTCCGGGCCTCACATGCTGGTCATTGTCCTGTTTATCGACTCCGGACAGACCCAGGGCGTAGCCCGTCCTGCACTCAGAAGAAAGATACCACCTCTGCTCTTAGCGAGACTCCACCTCTGTCAGCTTGGCCTCTGCGACTTCAGCTTCTCCCCAGCCGAGTCCCAGGGAAGAGTTGTACCAATTTTAGAATGAACCAAGAACCCTACCCCCAGAGAGGCTTTTCCCAGCCTAGCCGCTCTTCCTAGCGGTTACTGAAGCAGCAGTCAACCCCTAAGAACAGCGGAGCCTGCTGCCGAAACACTTCCACGAGGTGGGGTCACAGGCACTGTAGAACCAGTGAACACCAGCCGGGTCACTGAGGCCCTGCGTCCCACCGGCCGCGCTCTGCTGGGGATGCGGTGTGCCCCTCACTGCTGCTGCCGCTCTCGCCCGCCTCAGACCTGGCAGGGAGGAGGTCCCCACCCCTCCCTCCCTCCCTCTTTCCTCCGTTCATCCAGCACTCTCACTCCTGACCCTCTTCTCCCTGTGCGACCCCCTGGGGGAGATAAGGGGATCCCAAGGCCCCTCAGGCCTGTCCCCAGGGAGCTCCTTGCCTAGACACCACCAGGACTTGGATGCGTTTGGTGTCCGACCTGGGCCGGGCCCTGTCAGTGTCCCCCTTCCCTCGAGTCAGCGTGGCCCACTGTGCACGATCTCCTCCTTCTGACCAGGCTGGACACTTGGGGCCGCTCCCCTGGGCTTCCTGACTTCTCCACTCACTGGCAGAGAACTTGCCCTCTGGGCCTGGGCTTTCCTGTCCAGCAGGGCGGGGACTGAGAGTAGCAATGGGGAAGGCGCTGGGAGGGGCTTCAGCATGGGAGTCCCCACTCTGTGTAGCTTATAGTTGTGGGGGGAGGCAAATACAGGGACCCTGGCGAGTGGGGGGCCATGTGCTGCGCTGTGGTGGAGCGAAGCCTGGAGTGGCTGCCGCATGGCCTGTGTGGGGGCTTGGGGCTCATCCTCTTGCGTGTATACAGAGGGGGACACTGAGGCCCAGAGCAGGCTGGTGACGTGCTCAAGGTCACAGTGAAGGGGGCACCTTGGAAGGCCAAGGATGTTCACGGACAGGACGCAAACCTCTGAGGCCACAGCCTAGAGTTGGGGGAGGGGTGCAAACACTCTTTGGAAGATGAAATTTTCGCTGAAGCCCCCGAGGCTCTCCCTCCAGAAACGAGCCTTCAGAATCTCCCCCTTGTTGGCCATCCAAGTGGAAAAGCAGAAGCCAGAGGACATGCAAACGCCTCCCCGCCCGCGTTTCCCACGTCAGACGTGAATGGAACGCTCCCGTGCGCGTCCTCGACGGCCCCGCCTCCTTCACGCCCACCTGGGGCCGCCCTCCCCTCGCTGCGCACGTGTCGGTGAGCACAGCCACCTCCGCAGAGGCACGCAAACTCGCCTTCCAGAAATTAAGAAATAATGCGCGAGTTTCTCAAATTACACCCATTTAACACTGAATTAAATTCTGGAAACTCTAAAAGCCCTGGGAGGAAAAAAAATGTGTTTTTTTTTTTTGGTTCACACTTCCCTGGAAAGTGAGACAAACCGTGATCTTCTGAAACCCAGCTACACGATCTGGTTGCTCCTCACCGGCGGCTGCAGAGCTGTGCCCGGGAAGACGGCGCTCTGGCTCCGCTGGGCTGTGAGATTTGCGTTGGGAAATTGGGCTGGGAAAGTTTGTCCCCTGCGCCAGATCCCCAGCTCCCGGTCGCATAATGGGCTCAAAATAAAGTGTCGCTTTCTTAGACATTGGCACAAATTAAAAAAGCAAATTTCCTCCATACTCCAGTACGAGCGTTTCCTCCCTGGGTGAGTTACAGAAGCCACGGAGATTTGCTTTCACTCTGGGCTCCTTCCGGTCGTCGGGAGAATCTTC